TAATCAGCACAGTAACTAAGTATTACATCATGTATAACAATATAAAATAATATACTAATAATAATAATAAAATAATACTAAAAATAACTAATAATAAAATAAAATAAAATAATCATTCTATAACAGTATTATAGACTTGATCCTCTGTATATTGCTATCTAATCTGCTAGTTCCTTTCTTAGAGTATGTTTTATTAACAAATTGATTTGTAATTGGTTTCATTACTGTTGAACCTGAGGGATAACAGTTTTGAAACCATTCAGACTAGGGTTTAAAGGTTTAGAGGTATGGGATTATATTCAAGACGGTAACTTTAGTACAATTAGGAGCCTTCAGAATAGCAAACCTATTCTCATATGTTTTTTCTTTGTTTTATTAATAAAGTTTTTGATCGAGCAATAATAAATACAAGTAACTCTTGATATAAGAAAGGATCAATATAAGAAACTCTTGGCATAAGAAAGATTTTACAAGTTCTATTTAAAAATTTTAAGTCTTTGATATAAGAGGATTTGGGTTGGATCCAGTGACTTTTATTTCAAGAGTCAGTTGTAATATTTTATCATTGATTTGTATATTATTTTCATATAACCATGATATAATTTTGGAGCTAACTGTACATATATAAATTGAAAGTATCAGTATACCTGAATATTCAGAAATTGATCTACTAATTTTTGTACTAGATCTGAAATAAAAATCTATGGTTCTTCTTCAATCGCAGCTTCTAAAAATTCTTTATGTTGTTCATTTAAAATAAATCTTTTGTCACCACCTTGCGATTTGAGAGCAATTCGATTTTCTTGATCAAAAACTTCGATAATACTTTGTACAGTTGAAGCTGCTAATTGAAAATTAGCTGCAACCTTTCAAATTAGTAAACCTTTATTATTAACATTATCTATAATTTGGTTTTTTATTTGTAAGAAATTTTTTGATATTTAGGTTTTCTTTTTTTATTTTGTTGAGACATTATTAGGATGAACATATAAAAATTTTTTATATTTATATAAAACCTTTTTTACTATTTATTAAAAAAATTTTAATAAAAGTTTTAAGAATTCTAATATGCTGTAATTAATAATATTAGGGGTTTTCAAAATTAAAATCAGAGAATATTATTTTATTTTCCGATTTATATTCAACATAATAAAAATATTATTAAAAAAATCCTACTTATTTTTGAAATATACCACTTATTTGTTAATTTTGAAACCCCTATTGGTAATCCAGTGTAATTACTATGCAAGATGGTGGTTAACAAATACAGATCTTATCAAAATATTAATTATGTATGTACATAGTCAATAAACATTAAAGAATTGTAATTAACATGTTTTTATAAATAACAGACAATCTATACTAATATTTTGATACTGTGAAGATTTAATTGTCTGCTTTCTATATTTTGTAATTTCAATGATGAGTTTGGTATGCTCATTATTGCAAAAATAGATAGGCAAGTTAGTGATTTGCAACAATAGGTGATTAATAATTTCAACAGTGGAACAGTTAATTTTAACAATGGGTATTAGTGATTTTAAAAATTGGTTAGCAATTTGCTTATTGAATAAGTGCTTTTAATATTTATTGATAGGTTAATTTTAATAGTGAATAAATTAGTAGTTTAAACAATAAGTTAATGATTCGAGCAATGATAAAGATTTTAATAAATAGATTTGAGATTTTGTAATGTAAGTTCGTAACTTAGCAGTGACTTCAACTGTGGGTGTTTGTTTTAGAAGTATAGTGGCTTTGACAAAAATAAGTAGTGATTTTAATATGAGTGAAAAATATACAAGATGCGACAATTATAATGATGCTGACCAATTGGAAATTAGATTTTGAGGCCGCATGCACTTTTTTCTCAACTCCATATACTTCATGATTTCATTATTTCATCCCTGGTACTTCATGATTTCATCACTTCATCTCTAGTACTTCGTAATTTCATCACTTCATCCTTGGTACTTCATGATTTTATCACTTCATTTCTAGTATTCATGATTTTATTACTTCATTCTTGGTATTTGTGATTTCATCACTTCGTTCCTGGTATTTGTGATTTCATCACTTTGTTCCTAGTAAGAAAATCGATTATTAAATTTCTTTTCTGGCATAACACTATACAATTGTTTGAAATCCATATTTTTGTGTAGTCTGTATTATTCATACACATATTGCTTCACATCTATATTATCCAGATCACATATCTCAAAATTATTTATGCATCTATTCTAGTCTTAATTTCCAACTAGGGTTCTGCATGGGCTGAGCTATCCATAGGGCATCCATAAACTAGTCCAATGTGGGTCAGGCTTAGTTCAAAAATTTTGTCTATAGATAATTAAGTCCAATCCAAAGATCCATGAATAGCCCATAATTAATCTGATTGACCAAAATTATAAATCTTATTATTTTCCTTTTCATATGATGTTAAAATTTTGAACCCAAGCTTAATTTAAAAATAAACCATTTACAGTTTGTACTCTTGGAATTTATAGATTATATCATATGATTATGAGCTGGGCTTGAATATATTCAATTAAATATAGATTTGTTTTGGACTTCATCTAGCCTGGCTATGCAGAACTCTAAACTATGGTCACAACTAGGTCACAACATTCACTTTAACTTATGGGCACAATATCTGGCCTGATTTAAGGTTAAAGTTTAAGTATACTTTAGTAATGCCAGTTATTGTTATGTCATAAGCATGTGATCTTGCGCCTGTAGGAATTGCCTAATTTATTATGCAAGGATCATTAGTATAGGATAGTATAATAGTAAATTTAAAAGTATGTAATCAGTTTAAGAGTATAGTAAGATGTGATTAATTAATGATGTAATAAAGAAGTCAAAATGTATATATATAAGTAAAACAAGATTAAATAAAATGTGACAGCTTTTGTTTCAAGTAATCGATTGAACCAAATAAAGTGATATTTATCTTATTTTTCGATAATAAGTTGTTCACACTTACCATTCGTTTAGCATTAGATACTAATTAACCTACATAGGAATAACCATACGAAGAGTGAATTATATTACGGTACATTTCTGGTTTAAGCATAACTATGTCATGCAGCTATCTAATTTATTAAATAAGTTGTCAATCGCATAACTAAATATATATTTATTATAAGCTTACCTATTGTGCACATCATAATAAAATATATTATCTATATTGAAAAATATTTGAATATATATGAGTGCTGGCAAGGAAAAAACTTAAACTAAAAATAATAAAATGGCCCACATATATAATAATTCTGGAAATCTTGCACTTCATCCAGATCTTATGCCTATAAAAGTATGACCATGACCTGAAACTATGCAAGCAATCTATAATGCTCTTCTACTACGTAGCAAACATATTTTCATATCTTATTTACTGGTGTCAATAAATCTATAAACTTGTATGAATTTGGTTGTCAACTTGTACAAATTTGGTTGTCAGTTTGTACAAATTTGATTGTCAATTTTTGTACGAATTTGATTGTTAGTTTATACAAATTTGACTGTCTGCTTGTACGAATTTGACTGTCTGTTTGTATGAATTTGACTGTCTACTCGTATGAATTTGACTGTCTGCTTGTACGAATTTGACTGTCTGTTTGTATGAACTTGATTTACAAATCCTGTAAGAGAATCAAAAATTTCAAACAGCACTTTTTATACCTATATCAAAAAACCAAATCATGATTAAACAAATATATTTTAATAAAAACAAAACAATTGTCAATAAAAAGAAAGAATTCAGGTTGGAATATTTGTATTTGATATAATTGCATTATAGTTTATTAAAATGGTTAAAAAAACATAACAGAAAAAAATAATTAAAAAAATTCAGACTAATAAAATTATAATCTAATATAATTATATTATGATTATTTAGAATATCATATATTTGTTCAATTTTATAAGGTAGCAATAACCAACATTATTTGTTTTACTGGCATCACTGTATGCATATTTATTGATAATAAATAAATGTTTATGCACACTCTTTTACATCTAACTTTATTGTTATTGTCATCAAGAGACAAACAATCATCGTTAAATAAAGGCAGAGAAATCTATACTAAAAACTTTATATAGTTTGATATGATTACACAATAATCTTGATAAAAATATCAATCAAAAAACAGAAAGAATACTGTAATCAAAACCACTGACACTTACTAATAATATAAAGTCATAATCATGTGTCAAACAATTGTTGACCAAAAATCGGAAAGAAACTGTAATAAAAGCCATCAATACTTACTAATAATATTACTTTCAGCAATTATTGATCGAAAGGCGTAAAGAAAACTATCAGCGCTTACTAATTAAATCCACCAATTGGGTATACTTTATTGATCATCCAATTAGCGAATTTTAAAGTAGGCATGTGATAAAGTATATCATATGACATAAGAACTAGTTTTTGGAACGGTTTTGAACTGTTCCGAAAAAGTCCGGTCCGGATCCAGTCCGAACCCGTTTCCCGTGGACCATTTAACATCCCTAAATTAAGTTTACATCACTAATCACCACCCTAAAAAAATAAAAATACCCAAAACCTAAATATCACAAGACAAGGACATGCCCTTTGAGGCATGCCTAGGGTGATTATCAGTTCTTGAAAATTTGGGCTGCCGTCAATAAATCAATACCTTAATTTTTACAACTTATATCTCGATGAATTTTGAAGCTAGTTTAATTGTCCAACAGTCAAAAGAAAGCTTTGATCTCGAGCTTTCTTTTGAATATTAAACTAGCTTCAAAATTCATTAAGATATGAGCTGTGAAAGTCAAGGTATTGATTTTTTTTTAAAAATGTCAATTTGCCTGATTTCTATTGACGGCAGCCCATTTGTTTTTACAATTTCGATGCAATAAACAAAATTCATACATATACAGAAAATATCAATTATGCCGAAGGAACATTACTTGCATACAAAACGACAATTTTTATTGTTTAATAGAAAATTCCTGTCAGTAGTCAAAGTTTTCGAGTGGTCGTATGTGAAAGAGATAGCTTTTCGACTATAACTTACATTTCATTACCACATCGATACTGGAATGAAATCTCTATTAATCTTATTAAATAAGCCAATTTTCATGAACTTTCGCACTTGTATTTATATAAATAATTACCTATTATAAAGAAAACTTCTCAAAAAACTAAAACTGAAGTACAGAATTTAAGTTTAGAGGATTTGGCAAATCTGAAGCTTGTTACAATATTGTTGCCAAAATTATGTCAATTAGTATAGCTAACTATCAAAGCATATTCAAGGAATCATAAATCCTTTGCATTTAATTCAATATATGACATCAAAATTGGCTTTACAGATTCTGATCCTACTACCACGTTTCAAAAAACCGAGGTGGGTTGAAAGTTGATAACAAGGGAAAGCTCGTTGCATTGTTTATGATTCTAGTAATAGAATGGCAAATATAATTTCAAAATAAGAGCACAAAATAAAAAGATAAAAATGTACACGTACATATCGATATTACGTATGTAACGATAAAATAAGCCATGAATACACAATTAAATTTCTATAAAGCTTTTATTTGCATGATTTTCAAAGTATTTAAAGCCCAATTCTCGAAGGTGCACTGGGATAACTACATATATAGCTGATACGTATCAAAATTATTGAACTGCGGCTGAATTGTGGCATTGTATTATGATACTGCCGCATTTATCTTCGACAACTAACGCTAATGTAGCAGTTAATGCGGCAATACGTACGGATTCTTGTAAATTAATTTGTAAATTAATTCTACAACTATAACTACATATGGGTCTTCATAATACCAAACTAGGGATGTGGAAAGTCTGGTCCGGCCCGACTCGACCACAAAAAGTTGAGTCTTTATTAAAGTTCGGTCCCAAGTAAACTTGGGTCTCGAAATATGCATGAATACACATTTTTTCGACTATATTTGCTGCATGTGCAAATGCGAGTCGAGTCCCAAGGTTAGCCTGGGATCGGATTTTAATAAAGACTCGACTTTTTTGGAGTCAATCTCTATACCAAATTTTCTTCACATACTTTCCTGAGCTGATCCCGCTCTTTGTTATTGGATAAAGTTATTAGAAACTTCTTTGTAAGAATTCACTATATTTTTCATGCTGTTGTCCTTGCAAGACAATCTCAAAATTCCTAAGGAAAAATCGGTCTTGAAAAGGATCTATCTCAGAGATAGTTAAAAAAATTCATGTAATTTTTAAGTCTTAATTGGATCAAAATGTCGACATCAAAAATTCATTTGAAAATTTATCCAATCAAAAATACAAATCAAAATTTATCAAATGGGTGCCGCAAAGTTAAAACATGCAAATATTAGCTTTTGCAACATTCAATGTTTGCTCGAAATATCTTTATGAAATAATATCTGATTCAGGTATTACTGATTCAGAATCTACCTAAAAATGAACCCAGAACGGTTCATGGTGGTTCCGGATCGTTGGCTCGGTTCGGCGGAACACTACAGCCGACAGCATATATAAGATGTATATTAAGAAGGGCGTCCTTAAAATAGACCGGGGGTTTAGATTCCTTACCCTAAACCTCCTATATAAATAAAAATTTTAAAATAGTGATCATCAATTGAGGTCTAGGATAAGAATCTAAACCCCCGGTCCAAGACAATCGAATGGTATAAAAATTTCACACGATTCTAATTACGAGATCATATCCGCGTATTAAAAAAAAAAGGAAAAAAAAAATTTTAGAGTTATGCTGTTTTGCACAACATCGAAAACAAATTTTAATTACAAATAAAATCTGTTTGAAAAAACCAATCATATAGTTACTTAAAGACATATTGTTTTACCGATTTGCGGGATTTGGACGATTTGGGGTAAGTGGACTTAAAAATCAGGTTTTAGAAAATTAACTAAGTCATGAGATAACATGATGAATGCAGCCCTTTTTTTTTGTGTATGATTTGTTGTTTGTGCCGTAATGTGTGAGCCGCAGAAGCAATGAATTATCGTTATAAATGGATTTAAATGAAAATAGAATGCTTCATAAAGTTTACTTGATATAATTACATAAATGACACTAATCGGCCGTTTGTTCTTATTACTTCTTCTTCTGCTACTTTCACCCGCAAGTCATCCCTTTTCTGAAGCGAAGAAGACTATTGTTGATGTTTTAACAAATGATGCACGGTTCACTAACCTTATCGAAGCTTTGCAACGTACTAGGCTTATACCACTTCTTAATCATGTAGAAACTGCTACCTTTTTTGCCCCTGTAAATCAAGCATTCGAGGATGACCCTTTTGTCACCACAGATCGTATGCTCTACCATATTTTGTGGGAAGAGATTAAGGGTGAAGAGTTTGTTCATGGTCAACTCTTAACAACACGCTATGAAATAGCTGAGAAGCTTGGTGAGGGTAAGATTGGTCAGAAATCCAAAATTGAGAAAGTTATCGGAAAGCTGGGACATGAAATAATGTATGTTGGGAATGGGAAGATTACCGAGACTGATCTTCAAGCTGACAATGGTAAAGTGTTCCATTTCAATATTTTTGTATTATTCTAGCTCTGTTAGATTTCTTTTATACAATCTTAATAGCTACTTTTATTTACTGGTTTTAGGTATTATTCATGTAATTGATAGAGTTTTGATAACTCCCATGGATGCATGTATGACATATTTCACCAACCTCTTTCATTTAGTTGCTTTATTCCAAGTAACTCAAAATTTACTTTGAATTATATATTATCACAGTAACAACGTTAGATTCATTTGACCAACTGCAGCTTTTTACTTCCTATCTTCGCATTATGGATCTTGATAATTATATCAAAATTGGAAACCATATTACTGTATTTGCTCCTACAGACGATTCCATTAATAAAAACCTTAAGCATTATGAGAGAGAATACCTCACCGGTAATTGTGGTGGCGGTTTCCGGGATCTGGATCGTCTTACTAAACATCATTTACATTATGATAATGTCTTGTATACGACAAGCTTTAATAGCGAAAAATCAGATGGTTTGTTCGATTATAATATGGTACGGAGATTACGGATTGTCACATTTAGATCGCGTTATTTTAATGTTAAATTTCTTTTAAATAACAGTGGAAACCGCTCAAGGTGAACCCCTTGAAGTTGTACGTGATGAGAATGATGTTATTCATGTTGCAAATGGCTTGATTACTTATAAAGATTTGTTAGCGCATAATGGTAAATGATTTTTTATTTATTCGATTCTATTTATTTATTCAATTTAGATAAATTTGCTTATTGAAAAATATAAATATTTAGGTGTCATTCATGTAATTAGTAACATCTCGGTTCCTAATGCAATTTCTTTCAATGCGCACAAATACCTTTGTGGGTTAAGAGCCACCAAGTTTGTTTCTGCATTGATCAAATTTCGTTTACATCATTATATTGAAGATTTAGAGACTCCTTATACAATTCTTGCCCCGCTAGATGATTACTATGACGCCAGTATTTTTGCGGAGATGGGATCCGATACTTTGAAATACCATATTCTGCACGGCAAATATGCACCTAAAGACTTGAAAGATAAAATGCTTGTCAAAACAGAGTTAATAACTGATAATCTGGAGAACAATAGACAAAGAATCGTGGTCACTGTTAAACCAACATTGGCCGATGAAAAAAGCGATGATGCCCTTGCATTCAATGATGTATATACTATCGGGGAGCCAGGTATATATATATATATATATATATGATTAAAATGTTTCTTTTCGCATCACATTAATATATTTATTAAAAATTTTTTTAGTGGAGATTGGTAATTCCATAATTTATATGTTGACAAAAACTTTGAAACCTCCTGTTGATATTTTAACAAACGCCATGCGTAATAGACAACTTAGTAACTTTGTTTCAGCTATTTATGCAAGTGATATGTTATCAACTGTTCAATCAAGCAAAGGTGTCACGGTGTTTGCTCCAACTAATCTCGCTTTTAGCAATCTTGATCTTCTCATTCCCTACTTTTTGAGTCCTTATGGTAAAGATGATTTGCGTGAAGTTGTCATGTATCATATGTTGAAAAATATTGTTTATACTGAAGATATTCCCCAAGGAGAATCACAATATATTGCGATTGATGGTTCTCCGTTGAACATTACACGTGATGAAGATCATATCAAAGTTAAGATCGAAAATGGTACTGCAGAAGTTATTCAGAGTGATGTTCTTACTTCAACAGGTGTCATGCATGTAGTCGACGCCGTACAATTGCCACCAACATTGCACATCACAGTGGGTAAAATTCTTAACGGGATTGGTGCTACTAGCATGTTGGAAGTTTTCAGGATTTCAAATCTATCAGCAATTCTTGATGATCCAGTAGAACCATTCACTATTTTTTCACCTACTAATGATGCGTTTAGGAAAATTAATATTACGAAATTAATGAACGATCCAGATAAAGTGTCCCGCTTGATCAGATTACATGTTATACCGCATAGTGTTGGCAATCTAAGGGAAGGTAAAGAACTTAATACTATGTTGTCTGATGATGCGAAACTAGTCGTAAGGAAAGATATCTTATTTGGTGGTTACAAAATAGAGGTCAAAGGTGGTTTCTTTGAGGATAGCGCTAGGATACTTGGAAAGGGTAGATCTTGGAATGGTGGCGCGGTATACGAAGTTGATAAAGTATTAAAGCCAGAACGTACTTTTCCGCATATTGGACGTGTGTTCTTTTACGTCGTTTTAGGATTAATGACATTTATAACTGTAGGCACATTAGGTGGTTATATCTGGCACCATTGGTCTCTTTACCAAAGACGTGCTGGATATAGACCAATTGATTAAAATTGTTGGTCTAGAAGACAATTTTATCCATGAAGAAACATTTGTTTGCTTTATTATACTTTATCAATTTTTGTACATACAACAAATTTATTATTCTTATATTATTATTATTATTATTATTATTATTATTTAACTGATGAATAATAAGTAGGATCTTGAATTAAAATTAATCATATTTTCTGAAACATTGTTACCTTTTGTTCACCTTTTTAAAAATTATTTAGAAAATTAACTTTCTTTTGTAACAGAACCCTTATTTACAAAATTCGTAAGCTCGTTGGAAGTCAATAAATTATACAAATAATCACTATCATAATATATTGTGACCGTCTTATATTAGCACTTCACATTAGAAGCTTTAATTTTAATAAATTATGTCAATCAAAAAAAAATACAACTATGTTAATCAAATGGTAATCTTTTTATAGTTCCTTCCCTAATACTCATTTGTTTTGCTCCTACGGCGCTGGGAACTTTGATACCACAACAATCTGGGAACTCTTGACCAAAAGCATGAACGTGTACATGACCATGTTCATCTTCATTATCATCGCCATTTCCCTCAAGTAATGACGGTGTACTACCTTCAAAACTTATCAGAGATCCAAACATGAAGTGTTGCATGATCGGTAATTTTGCGAGTACTTCACCTTTGTACATCTTAAGCATTCCCTCGTTAACTTTCTTCCATTCACGAACACCTATAACGGAAGTAGTAAAGTAATCAATAAAATTAGTAAAAACTAATTTGATAAATAACAATTACAAATGCTTACCAGAAATATCATCCAACATTGGCGAATTCCAACGTAATGATGCGGTTTTAACCTAAATAAGTGAAAAGAAAATTAATGACAAAGAAAATATTGGTACAATGTTTTTAAAAGAGAATAGACTTTTAACGTACAGAATTAATAAATTTTATACAGGCTAAATACATATAATCCTTTGAAAATTCATCTACAATGTCTTTATCATGAATCGACTTTGGGCGAATATATTTGTGACCTAAAAAGATATATATATTACATCAAATAATTATAAAAGATATGATTTGAACATCATCATACCAGCTAACTGAGAGGAACCAAATAAGAAAGGTAGGAAATGATAATCGTCTAAACCCCATACACCATGTGATCCAGCTGGTTCAAGCCAGTAATTAAATTGAAGATTCCGCATTACATCAATATATCTATTGAATTAATGCAGAGATTAATTTAATAATTAAATCACCGAAAAACGAGATATCTTAAACTATGCTTAATGACTCGCTTTTGAAAAACTCTGAGCACAACAGCAGTATAGTCGTCAGGACATATCAGTCCCAATTTTTCAAGGCAAAGTCTAAAAAAAAATAATAATTAGTAATAAGTCGATAGTTTTACGTTATGATAAAATGTTATATTGTAGGTATTACTCACAACCATGTCATGAAATTGGCCTCATGGCCAGTACCATAATCTATTCTTTTTTTGTTTCCCCAGGATTCCGTAAAGTACTTTGATATTTCAGGTATTGCGGCTGGAGGAAGTGATAAATTTTCGTGAAGTTCAAAGGCAGTCTACATACGATACATGTTAAATTAAACGTATGTAAACGTGATTAAAGTAATAATGGTATGGTATTTACACTTGTAACTCGATCATAGAAATCCCTAAATGCAGGGTTTCCAAAGCGGCTTTTTTCGTTATTTACTGGGGGAATTTCTTTACAGTAAGTATTTACAGTATCCAAGATCTCCAGTATATTTACTAAAGCCTATTTCACACAAATCAACGTTTAAGAGGTCATATTATGGTATAATCACGTTATGAAAAAAGGCAGGTCGCAAACAAAAGTTACCGGGGAAACAATACATTCAGTTGTCAGTTTTAATCCCTTGACTGAATCATTTAATCGCACGATAAAAGAAGCATATTCTTCATATGCCTGCGATTCTTGAAATTTGTCTAAATCGTCCTTGGTAAGTATTTGCCGCTTAGGAATCATAAATGTGGAAGATGCAGTGTTCATTGGATTTTTGGCGTTGATTAGACTTTAAATTAAAAATAATTTTTTTAACTCAAGGTTTCCGTAAAGAACAATTATGCGTTTTTGACAATTGTTTTATAGATTAATTTTATATATGGGTGCCCATTAGTCCGGTCCCGGTCCGGTTCTATGGACATTGTCCAATGTTCATATCTATAGGTGCAGAGAATTGATCAGAGATTTAGCGTGATGATTGACCAATCAAATAGAGAAATTACGAAGCAAACAAAGCGAAAACCGCAAAAAATATAGGAAACGGCTGTCTAAACCTATCGTGGATAGGGATGGTAATAAACCAGTTAGCTATATTTTAAGCCAAAACAAATGCAAGATGCTTAATCTATATTTCTGCTATTATTATCTTATGATTACTTTCTGTAATTTTTTTTATTTTAATTTCTGTTTTTTGCAAGCCTGAAGCTAGTTTATCTAATACCCATATGTAGTCTATTCTTGTTGCAGCTTCTTTATTAGATCATGTGTACTTTTAATTTATCAGATGCATGTTTCTGTATATATCATAAAAGTTTTGTTTTTTTATTTAAATAAAAATCTATAATCTTTTAAAACTTGTTTTCTGAGTTTTGTCTATCTAGTATATTGTCTAATATGTTTATAATAATGATTTGTGTTCATTTCTTCTTTTTTAAGATTGTTTCTTTAATTTTTTGTTGAATACTTTTTTAATTTCTTTGTTACTTGATAATATATAGATTCTTATTACCATTAACTCCAATTACTTTTTTTTTTTTTTTAAATATTAAGGTGAGTACTTGCGACCCAGGATTTTATTGATAGTACATTCAGCTAATGGTTG